ACTCTCATCAGGTGGCTGGTCCCAAGCCGGTGCCCAGAAGCTCCGGGTAAGGTTCAGATTGACAGAGGAGGCTGTGCCTGTGCTGGGGACCTTGGCAAGGGGGGCAGGCGTGAATCACAGAGCAGGGTGTGGGTTCCAGGCAGGGGGGGAGGGAGTCCTGAGCTGGCCAGGGCTTCTTACAGTATCCTCTGTACCCCCACAGCACCCAAGGCCATCAAGATCAGCCTCAAGAGCCCAGGCTACCTTGGCACGGCCCTCAGAGCCCCAGAGCCCTGCCACTGGCCCTTCCCTGCCTTCATCCCACTTCGAAGGGCCCTCAACACAATGTCCAGCCCGGAGTCAGCAAAAAGTGGCACAAGCAGGGGGAGGTGGACCAGGGCCTGGCACAGGGCCCATGCCACTGTCACCGGCCTCTTCCCACGGTCTAGTCCTGACACCATGCTTCCCAGAATCTGCCCGACTGGCCCAGAACAACTCAGTGACAGATTCACAGACAGGGAGGAGGCTGTGGGATGACGTGCATGGGTCTAGGGACAGCTGATGATTGGGGATGAGGACAGAAGCAAGAGTCCCGTGTGCATGTGTGTGTGTGCACATGTGCATGTGTGCAATAGTGCGGTGCAAGTACCAAGCAGAGGAGAGGGAGGCAGGAGGCAAAAGGAGGTGCAGGGTCCACCCTGTGGAGCCACAGGCCATGGTCAGGGCTTTCCACAGTTGTGGCCTGGGGACAGGCACCTCACAGTGAGCACAGAACAGTCCCAGGTTCAACCCAGGACCCTGCTTGTGGATGTTCTAGAAAGACGGCGACAAGTAGCCGGCAAAGGGGGACACAGCAGAGGCCCTTGCCTGGAGGGAGGACACTCCGCTTGCAGGCTGACCTTCCACCCTAATCCCTGTCACTCTGTCACTTACTAAGAGCCAGGTGATGTGGCAGGAAGAGGGAGAGCACTGCCCCTTCCTTTGTGACGACCCCTTGCCCTAATCCGGGCGTAGGAGAAGGCTGTCCTCACCACGAGGACACCGAGGGCCACGGACAGCACAAGTCCAGCACAAGTCCCCGGAGACCTGAGATCTGAATGCGCACCCCACTGCTTCCTGCTAGGTCTGGCCCTGGGGGTGGGGGGGGGGGGGTGAGGGCTCTTCTCTGCCCTTCGAGCCACAGATTCTAGGAGCGAGTGGCAATGTCACATCGGAGGGTGTGACCATCCACAACTGTGTTCCTCAGAGCAGGGAGTCTGGCCCACACGCCTCCTGCATGTATGCAGACGTCCCTGAGAGTCTGTCAGGGGGCGTGGAGTTTAGGGAGGTGGCATCCAGCCCCCTGGGCCTTTCTCATGTGCAGATGCTTGTGTGCAAGATGGACAGTGGGCAGAGCTGGTGGTGCAGCTGTAGAGACGGCAGCCTTCTCCCACAGGGTGTGCATTTTGCCTTCTAACTGGCTCCTGTGACCAGCTATCTACCACTCATCTCTAGAGCATGGCCATCACCCAAGCCATCTACCTTAAACCCTCAGGGGCCTTCCCATGGTTCTCAGAGCCAAGCTCCCTCCTTCCACCCCTCCCCAACTTCAAATCCAGTCCTCACAACAGCACTTGCATGCCCCAGAGACTTTGCACAGCTGCCCAAACCCTTCGGATCCATTACCCACCACTCTTTCTGTGAGCCCCAATTTAGCTTCCTTCCTCTTTCAGAGGCTCCTGGGGGAGCTGCACCCCTGGGTTCCCAGAGCCCCTGGAGCTTCCCAGACCCCTCTCCTCTCCTACTCCCAGGAGCACATGGGAGGGACAGGCCTCACTCAGCCAGTGTGTGTGTGCATGTGTCCTGGCCCCGTGTTTACCCAGAAATCACAGCTCTGCACCATAGCACAGCTGCCGCAGGGGAGGCTGGAGGGCAGAGGGAACTGCAGCTGGCATGAAGGGCTTCACAGAACCCTCTGGTTTGGGGGTTGTGGGTGGAGGGGGGTGTCTAGAGCTTTCGTCCCCAGCAGTACACGGGGCATGTGCATGGGCTCTGCCCACGGGCAGAGTGAAACGTGGTCTACCGAGGTCCTGCCAGCGCAGGGCACACGCGCACACAGCACTGTCCGGTGGGGTCTGCACGCATGCACACACTCCCCCCCAGGCCCGCAGACGGAGGCCCTGGCACGTGCGTGCGATGTGCACAGGCGGTGCACACACGAGCGCTCACGCTTGTGCACGGCACAGGAGAGCGGGGACAGGCAAGTGGCAAGTGACACGGCTCGGGCTGAGACCCGCAGCGGGGGGAGCCAAGGCACGAGAGAAGGCGGCTGGGTGCTGCCCAAGATGGGGCCCGAGCGCGGGCCGGCCGAGCAGGAGACGGAAGGGGCGGGCAGGGCCGGCGCGGTGCGGCGCGGCGCGGGCGCCCTCTCCCGGTGATCCGGGGCAGCGCGCCCGGCCCTCCGCCCTCCGCCACCGCAGCCCGGCGCCAGTTACCCAGGCCTGGAGACCGTGGCGTCCCCGGGGAGGCCGGCTCCGAGCCCCACGACCCGCTCCCGGAGGCGAGGCTGGGCAGACGGGCCGACCGGAGGCGAGGGTGCCGCAGAGCGCTGCCCAGGTGCGCGCCGCCGGGCCGGCTCTGCCCCCGGCCCGCTCTCGCCCGGCCTCGCGGCGGGGTCCGCAGGCGCCGAGCTGCCCGGGGACCCAGCCGGCCCGGACGCCGCAGCCCCAGCACAATGCGGACCCGCAACACTGGATCTCGGACCCGGACGGGCCCTGGGAGCACAGCCCGCGCCCCCACTTTACGAACGCGGCCGCCGAGGCCCAGCAGGGACTGGAGCCTGCGGGAGAAGGAGGGCACTTGGAGGGCTGTCCAACTTGGCGGCTCCCCTCCCCGGCCAGCTCCGCCTGGAGACCGAGCTCCTCCGCCCCCGCGGGCCGCGGCGCCCCGGCGCTCGCCCGGGCCCAGATGGCAGCGGCAAACTCCCGGTCCGAGCTCCCCGCGCAGCGCCACCCGCGGAGCCGCGCGCCGGCCTGACACCTCCCCTGGCCCGGGGGCCTCGGCTCCGGGCCGCCCGGGCTCCGGGTCCCCCCCCCCCCCCGCCCCTCCGACACACACAGGTGCAACAAGTACGAAAACAGGGCCGGGCCTCTGCGAGCCAGCGGGAGAGGGAGGGCGCAGGGCCGCGCGGCGGGCGCTCCGGGATCCCCGAACGCGCGCGGCGTCCGCCTCCGGGGACCGGGCGCGGGTGGCGGGCACGCGGGGCTGACTCGGCGGGATGCCCACCCCCCCCTCTTCCCGGGGGCCCCCCGACTCCGCGCCGGCGGGGGCGCGCCCGGGAGCCCCCTCCCCCTCTCCCGACGCTTGACCTTGCTCGGGTACCGCAAGCAAGACCCGGCGGCGGCGTCCGGGCGCGGAGTTTTACGGCCGCCCGCGCGGTTCGGGGGATCGGCTCGCCCACTCACCGCCCCGCTGCTCCCCAGGCCGCGGGGCTCGCGGAGGAAAGGACGCTGGCGGGTTCCCGAAGACCCCCACAGTCCGGGTTCCACCTCCCAGATACGGGAAGGGACCCTGAGGCCCCTCTCCGCACGCCGCCGCCCGCGCGGGCGCTCTTCCTCCTGCGCGGCGCTCGCTCGGAGGGGGCGTGGGGTTTGGGTGTTTGGGTCGGGACGCCGAGGGTCTCCCTGGACCGCGGGTGGGGCGCACGCGCGCCCCTCCTCAGCGGCTCCCCGGGCGGGGTGCGCGCCCCTGCCCACCCACGCGCCTCCCGGAGTTGCGGCTAAGGGATCCGAACCCGAGACGGGGGATGGGGGGAGATGATGGAGCGTGACGGGGTTCCCGCGGGGAAAGGCAGCTGAAGGAAGAGGGGTCCGTCCTGGTCAGGCCCCAGTCCTGGTCCGTGCGCTCTAAGAAACTTGGGAGCCCCAGATAAAAGTAGGGAGGGTGGGCTGGGCACCGCCAGGCCCCAGTCGGGGGCGCCGAGCTAGGCGCTTCCCCCGATTGCCTGGCGGTGACCAAGCAGGAGCCGGCGCGGCCAGGCGGAGGGACCCGGGCTCCGCCGCAGCCTCCGACAGCCCTCGCGGCCGCCGGGCTCGCGGCGGTTCCCGGCCCCGCCATCCCCGCCCCAGGCCGGAGGCGCGCTCTCCCTGCCTGGGGGCTGCGGCGACCGGGAGAGCGGGGGTCCGCGGCCGGACTCGAGCCCCCAGCCTCGGGGGAGGGCGCGGGGGCCTGCTCGCTCCTCCGGGCAGCTCGGAGGAGCGCGCGCGCGGCGGCGGCAGAGGCCGGCCGCCGAGGCCGGCGGGGGGGACGCGGAGCCGGGCGTGCGGGGCGCCGGGCCCCGCGGCTCTGCGCACACAGCTCGGGGCCGACCCAAAGTTCAGAGCGGCTGCTCCGCGCCCACCGTGCGAGCGAGCGCGGGCGGGCGTTCGCGCGTGTTTGTGGCGGTGGGGAGGCAGAGGACGGCCCCCCTCCAGATTCGGGGGAACCTCTAGGGGTCTTCTCGGCGAATACGGGGTCTGTGTCAGGGCTGCGAGCGCGAGTCCGGGGCTTCTCGGCCGCCCGCAGCCCTGCGCGTGGGGGAGGCTGTCGCGGGCCGCCGAGGAAGGGGGCGTCCTCGGGGGTCAACGAGGGGCTCCGCAGCCCCCTGCCCGCGCCTGTGTGCGGCCCCCGCGGGACCACCGTCCCCAGCCTGCCGGGGCTGGTGGGTGCCTCCTCCTGCCCAGCCTGCCGGCCGGGCCCGGGCGGCCCGGGAGCCGGGGTGGGGGAGGCGGGCAGCGCGGGGGCGCCGCTCCCATGTCCGGGTCGCCCCCTCCGCGGGCCCGCGCGGGCGGGGACCTGCCAGATTCCGTCGCCGCCCGCTGGAGGCGACCCGGGGGAGGGGGGACTGGTGGGGCCCGGGCGGGGGTCTAAACTCCCGAGCCCCAAGCGAGCGCAAACCTGGGAGCCGACGAGCCCCACGCGGCGAAGTTGGGAAGTCCGGGCGCCCCCCCCCGTGCCCCGACCCCCTCCCGCCGCGCCCCGGGCCCCCGCCGGAGCCTCCCTACCTTCCCCGGCGCCGGCGGCTCCTCGGCGACGACTTGATCCGGCGAGTTGCGAATCCCCGGAGCGCCCCGCGCCCCCCGCGGCACAGCCGGGCTCCCGCCCCGGCGGGGGGGGGGGGCTCCCGCCGCCGCCGCCGCCGCCGCCGCCCCCGGCCGCTGCCGGCCTCGCCGAGCGTCCCCAGGGGCGCGCCCGCGGGTGCTCGCAGGCCCCTCCCCACCCCCTCCCGCTTGTCGGAGCCCCCCGGGCGCCCGGAGGGTCCGGGTACCCGCGCTGCGGGCGCTGCGGGGCGCGCGGGCCCGGGCCGGGCCAGGACGCGGCGCGGCCGCCTGTGCCACCGGCTCGCCCGCTCCGCTCGCTCCACCGGGGCCGCCGCCAACGCCGCGCCCGCCGCCGCCGCCGCCGCCTGCGCCCGCCGCTCCCTCTCCGGCCGCGCCGCCGCTCCGCTCCGCGCGCCGGCCCCGCTCTTCTCGCCTTTTTTCCCCTTCCTGGGGCGGGGGGGGGGGGGCGCCGAGCGGAGCCGGGGGCGGGGCGGCGGGGGGAGGAGGGGGAGGAGGCGAGGACGAGGGGAGGAGGAGGAGGAGAGAGGCGAGCTGCTTCCCCGCCCGCCCGGCTGCCGGCGCTCCCCAATCCCTCGCTCTCTGAAACTGGATCCCGAATCGGGAGCCAGAGACTGCATTACGGATTACATCAGGCTTTATAGAGCTTCCAGATCACACATTAGAGGGGGAGCGCGAGCGGGGGGCGCGCGGGGGCGGGGAGCGGGGCAACCGGGAGAGGGGCCCCGCGCGCGGGCGCCGGCTCCGCCGGGAGCCGGCCGGCCCCGCGCAGCAGGGAAGCCAAGTTAGGTCTCCGCTCTGGCCGGCCTCTTCCAGGAGCAGGGGAGTGGCTGCCGTGCGGGTGACGGGGATGGATGGATGGACGGACGGACAGACGGACAGAGGACGGATGGATGGATGGATGGGTGGGTGGGTGGGTGGGAGAATTTAGGGGCTTGCACAGACACATAGGTGCGAGGTAGGGTCAGTGAGTGTAGACAGAGGTGGCCCATGGGCGGGAGGATGGATGGATGGATGGATGGATGGCAGGTGGAGTTGGGTGGTGGATTGTGCGTGCCTGTGTGCAGAAAGGGCTGGGGTGGGTGAGCAGGACCCAGGGTTAAATGGACGGCCCGCCCGGGAGGGGAGGGCTGACAGAGAAGGGTGGGCTACAGATGGAGGGATGATGCATGAATAGGTGGGTGAGTGGGTGGGTGGGTTGGATGAGTGATGGGCAGGGAGACGGAGCCAGAGGCAGGGACTGGGACCCATCCAAGAGGAGCAGGTGGCAGGGGGAGGCCAGGCAAGCCACTCAGGTTGGGGTGGTCCAGTCTTGAACAGGAGAGGCCTGTCCTGATGCTGGGGACAGAGCCCAGAGGAGGCAGGGCTAGCCCTGGCTTGGGCCTGTGTGGCTGCCCCTCCCATCCTCCTCTGCCATTCTTTGATTTGGTGACAATGGGGACACCTCTGGGATTTCGTTCTCAAGCTGATGCAGTTGGATCTCCCATTGTCAGCCGCCCCTGGTCCCTCCCCTGCTTCTCAGAACGTTAGCCACGCACCCAGCGGGGTCCTGCTAAATCAAAACCCCTCAGAGACGTCGAAGCTGGGGCTTCCCCCCAGGACACTTCCGCCCCAGCCCCTGGCTCCCACCTCACAGCTTGTGGTCCACTGACGCAGGGCCCTTTGCACAGGGGTTCAGTCCTCCCCTCCCCATAGCATCTTAGCTGACCAATGATGCTGTTGCTGGTCCAGCTGTGTGCTTCTCTCCACGGATTCGGCGTGCGTCTCCCTCAGGTATGATCACTGCTGGCACCAACGTGAATTCACAATCTCTGTCACCACACTTAGCCTGAGTGTCAGCAGCCACCCACGCTGCTGTCTAGTGGCCACCCCCATAACCTCAACCAGCACCTCACCAACCACACTGTCCTCCACCCCAGTCTCCAAGGGAAAATGGCGCAGGTCAGCGGGACTTGAGTCTCACCAGACGGCCCTGCCCAGATCCGCCTGTGGCCTGCTCCTTCCAGGGGTGGCTTCAGTGACTCCCTTCTACCCTGCAAGGCCAAGAGGTCCTCCTTCCCAGTCTAACTGCTTGAGCAGCTCGGTTCCTCCCTCCGCAGCCAGGGAAAGTGCCTCTTCCTGAAATATTTGACATCCACAAAAAGAAAAGGAGGTGGCATCCTGGGTGCCTCTGGGAACCCCTGTTGTACCAGTCCTGGGTCCAGCTGCCCTTGCGTTGGTCTCCTCTCTGCAGTAGCAGTCTGTGGCCACCAGGGGGCCTCTGATATCAGGCCAAGAAGCATCCACAGCAGCAAGGCTCTCAGCTTGCCTCTCAGCTCATTGCCGATGGGGGAGGGGAGCAGAGTTGCCTGGCTCCAAGCTTGCGATCTGGCCTCCGACTCCTTCAGAACCGACCCCCCAAAGCAAAAGGTTTTTCCCTACAAGTTTGGGGGTAGGGGTACACGCCTTTCCTCTCCCTGTCGTGGGAAGACAGCTTACTCCTTTAAAAAAAAAAAGGGGGGGGGGAGTCCTCATTTCCCAGCTCTGATCCAGAGCCCAGACAATCGTGGAGCAGACCCCGGCCCAGCCACCCTGTCAGCTTAGTGCCTGAGGATTGGAGGCAGGCAATGTCTGACACTGCTGCAGCTTCAGTTTCCCTCTTGGTATGTGACTGGCTTAACTTCATGGGTTTGAAGGTTTCCTACAGCCCAGATGCTACAGGATCTCAATACTCTAAGCCGGGAGATAGCCCCCAATTTGCAAGCAGGAGGGGCTCTTCCCCCCCCATACAAGTCCTGCCCCCCCCCACCAGGACCATCCCACATCCAAACTGGTTTTCTTCAAGGGCATAGTGACCAGGAAAAATCCCGGAATTGATGGTCCATCCATTCGGATCCCAAGTCCCAAAGTGTCCTCACACAACCCAGAGGAAATGAGGCCCTTGGTACCTTGTAAATGCTACCCATGGCCATAAACCAAGCCCTAACCGCAGTCACAGACTCAGCCGGGACCCCTGGTTGACATCGAAGACCCTGATCACATTTGGCCACACACTGAGCCCTGATCTTAGTCATAGGCTGATCCCTGATCCTGGTAATATAGTGAGTACCTATGCTGATACAGATTCATAGCTCAATGTGCCATGAATCTGGTCAGGGTTCTGATTGCTGATTATATACTATGCCCTAATTCAAGCCCATTTCTGAACCCTAGCCCTTGTCACACAGTGACCCTTGATCTTGTGGCAATTTTACTTATCCAGGACATGGCCAGAGGTTGAGTATAGACTCCCAGGGATCTCTGGGGCACTAAAATCAGAGAAGTGTAGGGAGGGGTAGGAAGCCCCCCAAGGGAGGCAGCAGGAAGTTTATCTCAGAGTCCCTGCCAGTCTTTGTTACTCAGGGCTGCCCCATTCCTGCAGACAGGTTTACCGGGGTTCAGTGGTAGACTGCTGACTCCATAACCCCCTGGTCCTGACCCTGCCCTTGGGAGCTCCATGGCAAACAAGGCCTCTTTGTGTCAGCCAGCTTCACCCAGCTTTCTCAGTGGACAGGCAGAAGGAAGGCAGCCTGGGCTCTGCCTGGGCACACAGTGGACCCTGCAAGTCTAAGGCCGCAGTATGTGTGTGGGCTGGGCACAGGATCAGCCAGCTACTTCTGCTGCTCAGGAGATGGCCACCGTAAACCTCACAGTCAGGACAAGGGACCCGCTACGTCACCACACAGCAACTGCAAGTCCCCCCCCTCAAGACCCCAACTTTTCTTGGGCCCCAAAGGCCCCATGCTCTGAGACCACTGGGAGGGACTGTCTGAGGAAGTATGCTACTGGTAGGGCTCCCTACTTCCCCGGCAGCAGCAATCTAGAGGGCGAGCCTCCTCCAGGAAGTCCCCATGTCTGCTTGAGCTTGCAGGCACCTCAGGTCAATCCAGCCACCCCCCCAGTCCCTCTGTCCGGTGAGCTCTGCCTGGTCCAGTGACCAGGCTCTGTGCCCTGAGGCCAGCTAGGGACAAGGGTAGCCAAGACAGGCACCAGGTGGCCCTGGGCACTCATGCAGCTGGGCTCCTGCATTCTGTGAGTTCTTCTCTGACTGTGGCCTGCCTTGCCCTGCCACACCTGCACACCTACTCTTGGGCATGGTGTGCGTCTAGCTATCTCAGTTCAGGGCCAGTCAGGGTGACAGCAGCTCTGAGAGGGTTCTAGGCAGAAAGGAACATGTGCAAGATGCCCTCAGCTGTGCCCACCTTGTAGCCTAGGGACTAGCCCTTCTCCTCCCTGCTTCTTCCTCTCCTTGCTTCTCTCCTGGGTGCCACCCTGGGCTCCTGGGCAGCAGTGCCCTACCCCCTCCTTAATTTCACCTCTAGCAAGTACCACCGGAAACTCCAGACTGCTGGACAGGCAAGGCAGCTGGTGTCTACCTCTTGCCCATCAGGGTTGCTGGGTGAGGATGGGCATCTTGGCCAGAGTACAGTCATGCTTTGGACGGGCAGCTATGTGAGCTCTGTGAGCTCGGGCTCCACCATACCCGCCTCAGCTGCAAATGAAGAACACCATGCACATCCCTGCGTGGTCTGCGCCCAAACCCAGAGGCTGCTTAACCCTGGTGGGAAGCTCAGGGAGCTGCAGGTCTGTCCCAGGCCCATTGCCCCATGGCTCTTGGCCCCACCTGCCTCCCGAACGCCTTCTCTGCCCTTGCTCAGGGGACCACACTCTGTGTGGACTTAGGCTTGGTCTTGCAGGTGGACCTGAAGACCCACCACCAGGACTGTACTGCAGACAGGTTTACCGGGGTTCCGTACAGGGTTCAGCCTCCGTACCCTCACCTTGCACTTCTTAACAGGACCCGGACTGCCTGCCTGGCAGAAGCCACATGAGGGGCGTCAGGCCCGACACACACTTCCTGGGAGCTTCTAATGTGTGGCGCTCGGGAGCTGGCCCTGCAGGCTGGGATGGAGGCGGGTGCAGAGCTCGCGGTGGGGGGCGGGGGAGAGTGCATCTAGTTCTGCTGGGGAT